TATATTTCTGGCACAATATCTTAAAGTTAAACCGAACTTTTATTTTGACGGGTTGCCGTGTACACCTTTACACTTCTGTGTGTGTATATGTTATGACGCTATTTTACTCAAATGAAATAGTGAAATGAGACAGCCAAAGCTGAAATCCCCCCGAGGGTCACACAACAACACCAAACGTCATTTATTCACACAGAGACACACGGAACATGCAGGATTTATATTTAAATAGTCTTTTTGTGACTTAATATTCACATATACCAGTCTATATAGCGATTCGATTCAAGTTTAATTACCTACTTTTGATTAATTCATCCAAACATTCTGCGTTAAACTGTAAATTCGGTTTTATAACTGGATATTGCGATTCCGTGTGAGTTTTCCGCATCACGGAAATCATAGGGCCCTAGAGCTTGTATTCTGACTGAACAAACTTCATGTGCTCTCTTGCATTGGTCTGGCGGTAATAAAACTCCGTGTTCAAGGGGGCAATAGAGTTACATCCAGATGCTTCTAACACATACCTGTCAACGTTTGGGTACCAAAATACGGGAAATGGGGGGCGGGGTCAAAAGTAACAATTTTTATATTATTTTATTTTATTTTTATATTAATTAAAAAAATTATTATCAAACAATTATATTCATTTAGTAACATAAATATATCTTCGTGTAGACTATATCTTTAGAGTTTTATAATTCATTATCTTCTTGTCGATCCACCTGTTCACATTTACAACTGCGTGCTTTCTGCGTAAAAATAAGGGTCTATTTTGGCTTTGGTCTAAACAAAGAGCAGAAGGGCTTATTGAAAAATGCACATTCATTCTCTGCCAGCAGGTGGCGCTTTTCGCCAGGAATATAGCAGTTTCCCCGGTAACCACAGTAAACAAAGCAGCAGCACCTGACTTTGAAACTTGCAGCGCTCATATTTAATCAATTAAATACATTTACATTAATTTTTTTTCACTGGAGCACCACGTGAGTCGTCTTCTCCCATTTCTACCAGTGATCAGTTTCCTTCCCGTGGTACTACCTGCGCACATATCAATAGCATCACTGGGCTGTAGGTTGCCAAGTTGAGGGGACAAATGGGTTGAAATTTGTATGCGTCGATCATGTGAGAAAGATGCTTTTCATACAAGATCTGGCAACTGGACAACCTTGGAATTTGTTGTTGTGATTATTCACATAATGAGGTTTGGCCCGTACACATTACGGGAGTTTTACCGGAAGCGAATGTAGCAAACATATAAAATACGCCCAGTGGGATTTTTTTTTATTAAAAAAAAAGTATTTAAATGGGATGATAGCGGGATAGAATGGTAAAATACGGGAGAATCCGGGGGGAAACGGGAGGGTTGACAGGTGTGTTCTAACATGAAATCATATGTTATTATTCAGGTGGGTTATTATGCCATGACACTAGTTAACGTGAAAGAGAAAACTGATCATAAAAGAAGACATTTACGCTAATTCTTGCTATAGCACCTCGTTCTGCAGTGCTATGAATGCAATGCGCTCGGACTCATTTTAGATGTATAAAATTGAGCTTGCGCAGATCTGCTTTCATGTACTTATTTAAAGTATGTTTCAACAAAACATGGCTGCGCTGCTGGAAAGTAGTATTTGTAAATCGTCATTGATCGTAAAGTGACCAGTATTGGGGAGAGTTACTTTTAAAAGTAATGCATTACAATATTGCGTTACTCAGTTACTTTTATGGAAAGTAATGTGTTGCATTACTTTCGCGTTACTTTTTCTCATCTGGCTGGGCTTGCTTGTTTGTTTTTGATGTGATCGTTTCAGGCAAATGCTAAATACTATTTTTGGCAAATGTAAAAGCCCTCTCACACCGGATGAGCCTCAGGCTGAAATGTAAATTCACGTCTGTACAGTAGAGAATGCAGCTCAAACAAACCTTTCAGCTGTGCTGCTGTTTACCTAGAGTCATTTTTGCTTATTAGTATGGTTGAATTGGATCATCTAAGGTCAGCAGCAAAGACACTGGTTAATAAAATGGGATTAAATACATAATAGGATAATATTATTGCAGGTTTGCATCATATTCTGAGTTTGTATTGACTGTTTTTATTTATTTAGAGGAACACTGAATGTGTTTGTGTGCAGTGAGATGAGTAAACACATGTTGATATTTAGTCTAGAACTACAGTAAGATCATGTTCACACACAACGCTCTGCACTTACTCCTGATTTCTGTCACCATGGGAACACCAGAGCTGTCACTCAACACATGGAAACAAAGTAACTGGCGTTACTTATTTGAAAAAGTAACAGATATTTTCATGTAAATTATAAAAGTAATGCATTACTTTAGTAGTTACTTGAAAAAAGTAATCTGATTACGTAACTCGAGTTACTTGTAATGTGTTACCCTCAACTGCAAGCTCACGCTCATCTGCATACACTTTTGAGCGTCACCCCCACTAATGCAAAGAACCAAGTCCCGCCCTACATTTGTCTCTAATCCGTTGTCTCATAATTTGCTTCATTGCGACTTTAAAGCTCATACCGATGTAACAAGATGGAAATGAATACATGCTATGCTCATGTTTTTAGGAGTACGAATGCTCATTTGACTCTATTCAAGTGCATTTCTGAAGTGAAAATCAGTGTAATTCTCCAGTTGAATGTATGTTGTTTTCCTAATTTTCAGTCTGGAATGATGATTGCGCCTGTAATAGCTAATCTCGGACCACTGAAGGTGCTCTCTTTTCGACCTAATCCAAGTGAGGTACAGCACAGTTTACATCCCATCACGATCTATTCAGATCTTCGTGATCATGGTGGTCTGTTTGTCCTCAGATAAGAGTTGAGTAACACTGTGTTTCTTCCTCTGACAGGTGGAAGAGATATTTACCCTGACGCTTGAGCATTTATGTCAACCCCAAAACAGAGGCTACACACACTTCCGCACTGGAGATCGTTACGGGTACACACTCCCGGTGTTTCACAGCCCTAAACATCGCGTCTGGGGTCTTACAGCAGTGGCCCTGGATCACGCGCTCAAAATTATTGTGCCACCAGAGCAGCTGTTGGACCACAGCGTGGCTCAGTAGCACCTTCAGCAGACAGACCGCTTGCTTAAAGGAAAATCCTGTCATTAATTACTCACCCTCATGTCGTTCCAAACCCGTGAGACCTTCGTTCATCTTCGGAACACAAGTTAAGATATTTTTGATGGAATCCGAGAGCTCTCTGACCCTCCGTAGACAGCAAGGTTCAGAATCGTAGCAAGGACATCCAACGCTATCTCACGACCAATTCGTATGTATTTAACGAGGTGGCTAATTCCTACAAATTTGTATGACCTCACTCGTACGATTTTATACGATTTGTCTAGACCCCAGTGACGGGTAGGTTTAGGGGCGGGGTTAGGTGTAGGTCATTCGTACAAATTCATACGAATTGTGCAATTTGTAAAATACGTACGATTTAGCAAAAAGTTGGATGAATTTGTACGAGTGAGGTCGTACGAATTAGCCACCTCGTAAAATATGTACGAATTGCTGGGGCTGGGACATCAGTAAAATAGTTTGTGACATCAGGGGTATAACCATAATTTTACGAAGCTATGAGAATACTTTTTGTGCGCAAAGAAAACAATAATAATTTATTCAACAATTCTTGTCCCCGAGTTACCGTCTTCGGCCATTTTGGAGAGTACCCCAGAACGTAATCAGCGTTGTTTATGTTCAGGATAAAGCGTGTGCATGCTAAACGTAAACAACGCTCATTACGTTGATTATGTTCTATGGTACTCTCCAAAATGGCCAAAAACGGTAACTCTGGGACAAGAATTGTTGAATAAATTATTGTTTTCTTTGCGCACAAAAAGTATTCTCATAGCTTCGTAAAATTATGGTTGAACCCCTAATTTCACATGGACTATTTTACTGATGTCTTTGCTACGTTTCTGGACCTGGGAACATTTCAGTTGCATTGCTGTCTATGCAGGGTCAGAAAGCTCTCGGATTCCATCAAAAATATCTTAACTTGTGTTCCGAATATAAACGAAGGTCTTACAGGTTTGGAACAACATGAGGGTGAATAATTAATGACAGAATTTTCATTTTTGGGTGAACTATCCCTTTAAACATATTCAATTCTGCTGTATTGCAGAATTGGTTTTAAGAAAAAATCTCACGGAAACGGTCAAGAAAGGTCTGGATCATATTTCAACCCACCAAAAAAGGGGAAATCATGCAGAAAATCATGATGGTCCATAAAAGTGGTGCAATAAGACACAGCCGTTCCCCCAGTGGTATGTTCAGGGTTAATATCTACTGCAACAGAATGAATTGTACTGGTTAGCTGCTCTGCTGTAATGAAAAGCCTCCAGTGAAATCAGGAGTGTTTGTTTTTACAGAGCACATACATTTGAATGTACTTTTGGGATTTAACATTATACGTTCTTCTCCAAGCCAGATGATCGTTTTAAATGTGAGTCTAATAGAAATGTCATTTTATTTAACATCAGTGCTCATCATAAAAGTGTTCAGATGCTTTAAAGGTTGACGGTAAGTGTGTTTTTTACAGTAGGCATCAGCACAGTCTTGCATATGGACATCTCTATACCCTCCTGCACTTTAGCTAAAATCAAAATTACAGCGACTGCACGATCCTGTTGTGTTCAGTATTCAGCTAATTTACTGATTTGTTCCTTAGGTTTTTGCTAAATAAATAAATAAATAAAATCAATCAGTTAACAATATTTAATTCATTCCAGACTAATTTGCTAATTCCTTAATTTTTTTTCTACATGCAGCTACATTTAAAAAATGCAGCAATATGGTAACACTTTATTTTAAGGTGTCCTTGTTACAGGTTGCATGTACTTACTATTATAATAACAATTAATTATGCATAATTACATGCAAGTAACCCTAAGCCAAACCCGAATCCTAACCATAAGTGCATGTAGTTAATTAACATTACTCCGAACTTAACTGCATAATTACACTGTAACAAGGACACCTTAAAATAAAGTGTAACCAGCAATATTTGTCAGTGAAACAAACTACACAAAATAATGATTCAGACATCCACTGAGTAAATAAAAGATGCAAAATGGATGACCCAAATTAAGACCATTGCATTGTGGGATGAAGTCCCCAGTACAGTGTGCTCACGTTGCAAATTTAGTATCATTCAGGTGTTCTATACATACAGAAGACATGTATACTTGATACATGCATACTGCATACTGTAAGTAGTATGGGAATAAGAAGAGTTGTAAGAACCCCATGGGAAGAACGAGACACACAATGCTATGCATCACATCTCCTACTTCTTCCAAGTTTATTGGTCAGATACACAGTTATTAGACTCTTCTTGTTATACATATTCATTTATCATAGAACCAAGACTTTCAAAAGTGATTGGATAAAAAAAAAAATGAACCAATCAAGGCCTCCTGTTTCAGTTTTTACCTCTACATCATATATAGTATGTGGACCTCTTTTCAAGATTAGATGTCAACTATTACATTAAAAAACACGCCAAAATCAGAAATTCTGTGTGCTATGGTGCACACACACACAAAAACATTTTGTAACAAAAAAGTGACCTAAAAAGGCAAGACAAATCATATCTCCTACAAAGATAAGGGAAATTGTGTCGTTATCTGAGGCCCTTAAATATCCTTATAATCGTCATTTTAACAACTTTAAATTTGTAGCGTCTTCTACAAACCAAAAATGTAACCACTCACGCAGTGGCAGTGTGTGTGAGAATTTCAAGTAAACGAATAGTGATCAAACCTGGTCTTCTTACAGTCAATTAAATGTTGAAATTGATGCCGCCTGTTGTGATGTGCAGTCACAAGATATTTTGCAGTTCAATTAGCATTATCCCATTTCACACGTGTGCATTAACCAGTCAACTCTTTTCTGCTCCACATTTTGTCAAAATATCCTGGTGATGATTAAAGTCAGCATGAAATGGAAATTCACCCTAGAAATGTCCTACTTCCTGCCAAAAATAAAGATTCTTTAAAAACATGTCTTATTACTTTCCATAATTTCGCCTCTTTAGTAAATGCAGCTTATTTTAAAGATTAAAAATAGATTGTTTTGGTCTTTAGTAAGGCAAGAAAATTTTGAAAATAAACTCCAAAGCACTCACTTGGAAATCTGGCATCCTCTTACGTAGAAAGAGAGCTCCTCCAGAATCCCCTGCAAGGAATTACACTCATTATGTTGCCTTAAGTGTGCGGATAGAAATATGTCTTCCATTTCCTCAACCAAACCTTCACGAGTCATTTGCGGTGTTTTCCTCTGATCCTCCAGTGCACATGAACCTGTCGACAGAGATGCAATGCTGTTCACAGGAATGGTGGATCTTGCCTTCTGTATGCATTCACCTCTCTGCATTATTATATACGAAATCAAATGTGACCCTGGAGCACAAAACCAGTCATAAGTGTCAGTTTTGTGAAATTGAGATTTTTAAATTATAAATAATTTCTGAAAGCTTAATAAATAATCTTTCCATTGATGTACGGTTTGTTAGTTGTATCTCAGCCAAATATTGTCCTATCCTATTTGAAAATCTGGAATCTGAGGGTGCCTTGTTAACAAGCAAAATCACTGAAGAAGAGAGACAAACAGAAACTCAAGAACTACTCACAGCCTTAGATGAAATCAGCTGAAGATAAAAGACATTAAATCTCTGAAGATCTCAGCAGAGGAGGATTAAACAACTCCACAAACAGCATTACCAGCTTCACTTATTACTAACCAGACTCACTTTATTTCTGTTAGAGGTCTACAGAATTTCTTATTGAGAATTAACAGGTGTTTAAATCTAATGTTTGTTTCATTTGAAGTCACCATAATGGTGATTGGTGTTTCCATTAGCTGAGCTCATAATTAGTATTCAAATGTCCAAAACAGTGCCTTGAACTAAGCACTGACTGTATTTCTTTACACTTGAGTCCAAGTTCAAAATAAAACTATGAAATGCTACATTGTGAACGCACAGAGCTGTATGAACCACTGCAAGCTGTGAAGTAAACAGGAAATGTTTGTCCGAACTCAACTGGTTTCGCCAGAGAACAAAAATTTGAAAAACATTTTTTCCTCCCACCCTGAATTTTTTCTACTCGCCCCCAATTTTTTCCACCACCATCCGTAGTCTACAGTGATTCCAGTGCCAAGAGAGCATAACATAGACATTAGATTATTTTAGATCTGTGGCGCTCACATCTTTAGTTATGAAATGCTTTGGAAAATTAGTAAAGCAAGAAATTATGCAAAGGACACAGAATTCTCTAGGCCCCCTTTGATTTGCATATAGGTCTAAGCGATGCAGTAGTGACTCTTACACTTAGTACTTCAGCATTTGGATAAACCGAAAACATTTGTTAAATTACTTTTTGATTTTGCATCCGCTCTCAATACCATTCAGCCACATATTTTAGTTGAGAAGCCCATTAATGACTTTGGGTTGGATTTTAGTCTCGTAGGATGATTTTAGATTTCCTTGCGCAGAGAACACAGAGTTAAAGTGAATGCCTGTTTTTCTGAATGGCTGCTGTCATCTACTGGGGCACCACAAGGATGTGTCCTCTCTCCTTTGTTATTTATCTTGTACACAAACGACTGTAAGAGTAGTTTTATAAAATGTGCTGGTGATTCTGTAACAGTTAGCCTATTGAGTGAGGAGGACTCTCCTGTGGTTGATGATTTCACTATTTGGTGTCAGAACGCTTTAAGCGTTCAAGGAGATGACTTGACTTTAACTCTATTCAGTATAAGCAAACAAGCATTAATGGAGTGGGTATTGAGAGTGTTGAACAGTATAAGTATTTGTGTACTGTCTAGGATAATAAAAGGTCCTTTTCACCAAATACTAATGTTTTGTGTAAGAGGGGGCAGCAGAGATTGTACCGTTTGTGGAAACTAAGATCATTTAATGTAGATGCCTATGGCCCAGTTATATCAAAGACGGGTTTTGGGTAAAGCCCAGAGCATTTTGTTAGATGATTCCCACCCTGTGTATCATGAGTTTCACCTCTCCCTTCTGGCATTCGGTATAGAACCCCTATTAGTTAAATAAATCTTTATTTTTCATTTATCCCCTCTGCTGTAAAGTTTTTAAATTTCAGGTAAAACTTTTTAGGAAGGAAATTGAGTGTGTTTTTTGTATTGTGTGTTTTGTTGTCCTATGTGATATGCTTGTATGTTGCAACGAAATAAATAGATGAACTGAAGTTGAAGTTTACCCAACTATGACGACTTCCGCTGATGAGAAACCCAGACATGTGAAAAAAGGTCTATTTCTCTTGTATACTCACTCAATCTCTTTAATGGGAGTGCTGTGTTTCCTGGTGAATAGGCCTTTATTGGCAACTTTCCACCAGACAAACTTATGGGTGTTCATCAGTCCCTGTAACATCAAAACAGGATGTAACGTTAAATGTGATTCAATTTAATGCTGACAAACAAACAAAAAAAGACTTCATAGCAGCCAACATAAAATTCTACCAAATTGCCAAATACTGGTAAAGACAAATAAAACTTCTATTTCGATCTCTTTAACTTTAGCTCATTAAATTGGTTAACAAGTGTCTACAGTGTAGACAAGGTGACATGCATTGACATTAATTCAGCCTAGTTAGGCTAAAAATACATAGAATCATTTGTGAGTTGGATGCAAATAATATATTCAAATTTACATGGTTTGGACCATCAACAAGTGAGTCATTATTCCAGAGAATAGTAAAGCAATTTAACCACCAATTAAACCATTTAAGGAACAGTGTTTTTTTGTTTTTTTAAATACTTACTTAAAAGAATGTCTGTCTTTTTTAATATAAGGACTTCTCTCCAGTGGCTCCTGGGATAGTAGTGTCCAGTGGATACACACTCGAGAACCACTGGAAGTAGTGGATCATCTGGGCACTTTCCGCCAAATGTTTTCTAATACTATGGCACCTACAACTCCTAATGTTTACCATAACTTCATATGGCAGAAATAGTAAGGTTAGTATGTGGTTTCAAATTCACCCGTGTAAAGTTCAATATGGCTGCAGAATTTGCATTAAAAGTTTTGAGAATCCCTTCAAAGGAAACCCAGTGATGAAACTGTCTGATTATTGATCAGAATTGTAAAATTAAGAGATTAATCAAATGCATGCTAATATTCTTAATTTAATTTGTCTGGACTAAAAAAATAAATTAAAAAAGTAGTATCTGAAGCTAGTGCACAACACTAAGTGATGCTCACAAATATACAGAAGAACGGTTAATAACCACATTAAATAGAACGATAACTATAAAGACAACGATAAAGATATAGTTCTAAAAATCGTTCTCAATATTAAAGGATAGCAGAGTCCACACCACAGCTATAATGATAAAGGCACATAGAAACGATATCGATGGAATCACTTCCAGAATAATTTTTTCCAGCTGATGAACGATAAAAACATTGACAGCCAATCAGAATCCATCCTGCTGTAACGAGCTGGAGAATTGAAAGCGGCAGACGAGCGTGCGCTTTTGGTATAAACAGGCGATATTATCGCTAATATCGTTATCTTTATAGCTTTAATCAGTTTAAGCTCTCAGCAATGGAAAAGATCAGTGGAGTTCACGACATCAAGTCTTTGAAAAGACATGAGACTCAAACTTACTGACTACAGCTTATTCTGCTTAGTTTCCCGAGTTCTGTCCATGAGACGAGCTTATTTTGCATTTACTGCTCATTTCTTCAACTCGCAACTCTTCAGTCATTATAAATGATTTCATCGCCAGAAAAAGGAAAATAAGAGAAAATTATATTAATATACAAATCTATTTTGTAGGTTTGGCCCTCCATAAAGTAAATGCATTTAAAAAGAAGAAAAAAAACCTCCTTGATTCAGCAATTACTTTAAAAACCACCATCAGAAGCTTCTTAAAAATCTTTCAGATCAGATCACCAACAGAGAAGCAGCAGTGACACATCTGAATATTTATTTGAGTAGGTACAGAGCCTGTAGTCTATGTCCAACAGGATAGGTATACCATCTAGTTTTTTCTTCTTTTGAAACTACATATTTGCAAACAAGGAATGCTGTTGGGGAGGGTGGGCTGTAAATAAAACAATGTAGCCATCAAGCGGTTATGCAAAACAGAGACAGCTCTACAGTCAACTAAAATTAAGAAACAAAAGGATGGTGAACCTAAACAGCGCTTTCATACCGTCACCTGTACGTGCTTTAAGATGCAGGCACAGCACAGTCCGCCAGAGACACGCTCAACACAAATATCTACAAATAAAGATGGACTCTGTATTCGCACTACAAGCAGGAGCTTGAGTTTTGTCCATCTTGCTAACGTTCACACACCTCCAATGCTGCAGTGTGCAAAACGGTGGAGAATTGCTTGTCGGTCAGGAACGGTGAGGGGCATAAATGGGCAGAGAAAAAAAAAAAAAAAATCAAACATTACAGTAGGTACTTTTAAAAATAAAGAAAAAAAACAGCTTACACTTACAAAACTAAAACCCACTAAAATGAACTATGCCGCAGTTTAGCACATGCTATAGATATGTCTGAAACCTCTCACACATAAAACACCTCCCCACATGATCGCGCACGGCTCAAAGCCATCGGATTTATCCCCGAGAACAGAAAAGGGGGAAACTCATCATGAAAGCAGAGCGGTTAATGTACAATAGCCCGGGATCTGTGCAAAGGTACAACAGTGCACAATGTGTATTACATGTATTTACACCAGCACTGAAAAACAAAAGCTGAAACGGGGGGGAGAAGGGAGAGGAAAAAAAAAAAAAAAAACACACGGACAAAACGCACGTCCCCAACGACCTCCTCGACGCAACACCCAAAGCTCAGTCCAGTGTCATCAACACTAAATAACAGTTAAAAGAAAAGGGAGAATTAAAGTCATGACATTGTCTTCTTTAGATCACTGATGTCCAGTCATTCCACTGAAGGTGATTTATTTTAATTATTATTAATTTAGCCTCCTCTTCCAGGCTATTCCACAATTTCCCGTTGAATTGGTCACCTTCCACACGTTGTCGACTCGCTGCGTTCGTTGCATTCAGTCCTGCGTTTCTCCAGTCAGTCGAGCACACACACACACACACACATATACACGTGTCACGTCCATTCAGTTGCGCACACGCAGCACAAAGACTGCGGCGTGAAGGGACAGGGCTCTGGCCTGCTGGGTTCGTTCTCCAGCACGTCAGATGAACGCGGGCCCTCAGCTCAGGGGCCACTCACTCACACACACACCACCTCAGAAGTGTGTTCGCGTCTCTTTGTTGTTGGCGTTGGTGGTGAGGTTCTCCTTTAGCGTTCTTACCTCAGATTATTCACGTGAGACGTCTTCGTTATTCCCATTGGTTCGGTTTGGTTTTGTTGAAAAGACACGTGTTCGGTTTAGATGGTCGTGTTTTGAAACGTAGTAGTCAGCCACTCACTTTCACTCGCATCCACTCAAAGCCGTCCGGACGCTTCCTTCAGAAGGAGCTCCACTCAATTTTTCTCGGATTAGATGCAGCTGGATCCCATCAGCCAAGCACAACGGATCTAATATTTCTCACACTCTCTCGCGCTCTCTCTCTCGCTCTCTCTCTAATTATTTTTAATGTTGAACAGAGTGCTGCATCACAAACAAAACTCCAGATTTCCCCCGTGGCGTCTAGAACTGGAACCCTTCTGCTGGCACGTTGGTAGAAGAGTTGAAGCTGTACGTTCCTCCTTGGATCGCTTCGGGAACCAGGTTGGAGTCCTCGTCAATCTGAAAGAAAGGAAAGAATCATCGAGATTCATGAGTGAATCACTTGCAGCATCACTGAAGAGGTAATAAAAACTACACATTTACATCAACAGATATATATACACTTGTTCTCCTCATTATTGCTCTGCGGCAAAACAAAAAACAAACTTACATCATCAGATGAGAAGAACTGATCGATTATTTCATAAGCCAGTTTGTAGATGTCCTCATTCTCATGGTTCTGCAGTTGCTCGATTTTCTCCAAACCTGAGCAAACAAACGATCAAACCATCCTCAAAAACACTTGCCACAGTAAGACATTAAAACAAGGCCTAAGACTTTAGGAGTTAATGTATTGTTATTTTTTCCCCGTGGTATCGAGTACTTTTAGTGGTATCGATACTGACTACTAGATTTTTGGTATCGTGACATCCCTCGTTGGGTCTTTATTTCCAAAAATTTATTGTGATCTTCATTTGAACGATCTTGACACAGATTCATAATTCTCAAGATATATTCTCAATATTGTAGCATTTCTTTCAAATTGATGCACAAGTGTAAAAAAGGTCACTAAACATCTGTAGTTTAAAGGGATACATTTCAACAATGAAATAGAATACAATAACAATGCCATCATTAGAAAGCAGAATTACCTGACAATAAGAAATCAAACTTTAATAGTTGGTGCTGTGTTCATTTTAACCAGTAATTTAGTAATGTACCAAGTGAGAGGGTTTTCAGTTTAGTTAACAGCATTAATTGAAAGAAATGTTTAATTTTTTTTATTTTTTTTACTTTCTCTCTCTGGATACGTACACTGAATTTCTTCAATCATTTAGTCCTCTAACTTCGCCACTTTCATCAATTGACCTCAAGCGGACACTCAGAACTGCCTCCATCCATTCAACAACTGATGGATCAAACAAAGTCCCACTTTTATTTATTTTCAAAAATGCGTTTCACTTTTGTGTCACCACACAGATGAAATATTGTGACTAAAAAAAACCTGACATGTACCTGATATGTTCACATGAAGAGGAATGGAGCAGACATCTAGCGAGTTTAAAGTGTGGTATGTAGTTCTCAAGTCAAGTTAGATTACAGTTCATCACTGCATGTGTCTACTAAAGCAGTGTTTCTCATCCCTGCTCCTGCAGCACACCAGCTCTCAACATTTTATATGTCTCCCTGCAGCACAAAAGCAGTCTTAAGTCGCTGGGGTATATTTGTAGCAATAGCCAACAATACATTGTATGGGTCAAAATTATAAATTTTTCTTTTATGCCAAAAATCATTAGGATATTAAGTAAAGATCATGTTCCATAAAGATATTTTGTAAATTTCTTACCGTAAATATATAAAAACTTAATTTTTGATTAGTAATATGCATTGCTAAGAACTTCATTTGGACAACTTTAAAGATGATTTTCTCAATATTTAGAATTTTTTTGCACCCTCAGATTCCAGATTTTCAAATAGTTGTATCTCAGCCAAATATTATATATAAAATATCAAATTTAATATATATAAATCTCAAAATTGGCACTTAAGACTGGTTTTGTGGTCCAGGATCACATATGTCTCGCCTATCAAACACACTTGATTGGCTGGTGTCCTCCAACACAAGCACGCTCTCTGCTCACCTCCACACTCCTCGATCAGGTTGGCGATAGTCTCGGCTTCGTCATCAGCCATCTTGAGGATATTACTGAGCCCGTCCAGAACCACCTGCACCACCTGAGCGTCTTTGACGGTCAGCAGGTTACAAAAGGGAGGAACCACCTGCTGCTGGATCAGGTACGCCACCTACAGGACGAGACCACAACATCTGAACACCGCCCCTCTTTTTCACGCATAAGCATGAGTATATATATATATTATATGAGTGAATAA